GTGGATGAGAGCAAAGGAGAAAACATGAGGATAACTGTAATAGCATAATCAATAGAGTATAATTTTTAAAAATACAAAAAAAGCAGAAATAAAGTCTGGTTAATTTTTGTGTCCCAAGCATACAGAGCACATTCTAGCACACAGTAGGGTCTCAGTACATGCTTACTGATATGGCCTACAGATGGGTTCTCACTGAGGTGTGCCATTGCCCAATAGAGATTTAGCCAAAAAAAAAAAAAAAATCTTTCTCATCTGTTCTTGAATTCCACAGAGATTAGGGGAGGGAAGTGTTGGACAGCTTGAGCTCTGGTTTAAGTTGACTCCTCTGGCTGTGAGGACAGGATGGAAGCAACGTGGTGGCCCAAGCCATGCCCAATTCAGGACGTGCCACTGGGAAAAGTGTGAGGTGGGTCTGATGCGAACTCTCGCTGAGGACAAGGACAGCTCCCTGCAGGTGGACAGGACCTCAGGGATCTCCTCTTCCTCTGATGCCTGAGCCCTCTGGCTCTGTTCCTGAAAATTCTGTCCTGGAGCAAATGTTCAGGTCATCCAGTCACTGACTGGACAGCCTGAGGAAGCAAGGAGTCCGGCTGTATCCATCCTGAGAGACCCATCTTATTTAAGCTATTCAGGTAAGGAGACCAGACAGCTCATTTGGGGGGCCATGGGAAAGGACTTCAAAAGCTGCTTGGTTTCTATTTTGCTTAATATTAAAAAAACAAACAAATAAAAGAAGGGGAACAAAAAAACTCCACTTAGCTTGATTTCATACAAGCAGGCAGGAGAGGATTTGGATTTGGAGTCCAGGTCCATGTGATTCTAAAGCCTGAATTCTTTCTACCAGGAGGGAAGGACTGGGTCGGGAGCAGAAAACCTGGGCTGAGGCTCCCAGGTACCTGAGTGGCTTTGGTCAAAGTGTATTCTCACCTTTATGTCTGTGCTGGTGCTGTTCATTCCTCTTGGGCTGCCCATAACTCTGTTCTAACTTTCACATTTCTGCTAATCTTCAAGATTGACGGTGGGAGCAGGGTGTGGGCTGGTTGGAGGAGGACAAAGAGGGGAAAACTGGGGCAACTCTAACAGAATAAACAAGAATAATTGTTTTTAAAAAGGGAACAAGAGGTTCAGTTAAAATTTCAGATCCTTCATGAGGTTTCCCCAGTCCTTCCTTCTGGAAGTACATACTCCTTCATCAAACTCCTGCCCTGCCTTGTTGCTTGCATGACTCCCTTCTCTGTTAGAAAGGACTGGGTTAATATACTAGCACTGAAATCACTTGGAAGTCAGGCCAAAGCATCACTTCATTGTACAGACTCAAACACATGTAACTCCTTCCCCATAGAGAGATGGCGAAGCCTAGAAAAAGGACCACTGGCTTCAGAATCAGATAGACCCAGGTGTGATTGCCCTTCTCTGTGTGACCTTAGTCAAGTTTCTTCTCCCCTCTGAGTTTTAGTTCCTCTTCTGAACAATGCAGAGAATAATATTTCACTCACAAGTGGGTTTCAAACTGGGTTAAGGAAATAATGGATATATCATAAACGCATATCTGTGTTTGCACGACATACTACTTAATAATAATAGCTACTATTTATTGTTTATCATGTGCCAGAAACTTGGAACATGGCAACCTGATAAATCACCAAGTAATCCCCAACTTACATATGAGAAAGCTGAAGTTCTATGAGGACATGCAACTTGTCCAAAATCTCACAGCTATTCAGTGAAAGATCCTGCATTCTGCGCCAGGTCTCTCTGACTCTTATTCAAATAGTGGAGCTATTAAGAATTTGAGATGAAGATAACTACATCTATCTTTTTCTCAGAAAAGTCTGTTGTGGGTCAGGCAGTTTATGCAACATGTCCAACTTTAGCCACGGAGAAAGCATCAGATAAACCCTGACTGGGCAGCTCCTGGTTGGAGTATCGTCCCCTGATATATCAAGGTTGCACAATCCCCAGTCCGGGCACATACAAGAAGCAATCAACGAATGGATCAATAAATGCAACAAGAAATCCCTCTCTCAGTAAATAAAAAAAAATTAAAAAGAAAGCATCAGCTAGAAATCCTCATATCTTTTCCATCTCCTTGTCTCATCTGTGCCTAACACAGAATTCAGTACATAGTTCATGCTCAATAAATGTTTATGGGATGAAACAAAAATCCTAAACAGTCACCATGCACCCTGATTCTTGGCTGAAAAATTCCGAAGTGGCCTTTTTCAAAAATTTCAAGGAGGCATGAGATAAACACCTATTAGCATCTAAGGTAACTGGCTGAGACCTCGCAGCAGAGTTAAGTCTGACCCAGGGGCAAAGACAGGAATTAGGAACAGACACAGGAGCAGAAAGTAAGTGGGTCACGGAAGAAGAGAGTCTGAAGAGGGTAGGGAAATGCCAAGGGAAGAGGGCAGTTGAGGAGTTGTCGCTTGGAACCAACAGGAGCCCCACCAGCCTGTGCTACAGCTGCTGGGTTGCTGTCTTATTCAGCACCGCGGACAGCGGCCGCTGCGCGGGGGCCCTGTCCCGGGGCACGGCTGCGGGCATAGTTTCAGGACCGGGGACAGCTCCAAACTCCAAAGGACTGAACAGGTCCTAGTTGAGCATTAAATACCTCAAGACTTCACTTAATCTTCTCTGGAGTTAGATGAGTCTTCAGGCAACCGTCACACAGACCAAGGCCATGATTCATAAACAATGCAAATCTCATGCAAGGTTCTGACAGAACTGAATTGAAAAATATGAGGCTTCTCGCTTTGAACTTACAGCCTCTGGGAACCTCGGGGTTTGGTCTTTGATAATAAGAAAAATGAGAGCCACGTTGAAAGGTATTGAAAGTGAATGAAATATTTTATTAAAAGGACCTACCCTGAACATGGGTATATGCAATAAACTTTATCTCAATCTTTATAGTAAAGATTTTGGGAGGGGGAATATAGTCCTCTGCAGAATAAATCAGGAATCAAATTTCCATTGGTTTTTACGCAAAATATCCATAGCTTACTTTATTAATAGATAGTGGAAAACTTCAATAAACGATAGTACATCAATGGAGATACTGAAGCATAGGGAGATGAGGATTTTTCTCTACTTCAAGATACCCACTGTAGTGTTGTGTTTTTAAATGACACCTATAAACAGACTGACCCAAGTCTATGAAAAGTGATAACTCATTCGTATAGAACTTTTCCTTTCATTTTTTAATGTAATCCTCACAACATCTCATGGGAGCCAATATCATTCTCACCACTTCACGGATAAAAAAAACTAAGACTTGAATAAATCAAGCAACATGCTAAACAGTGCAATAAGCAGGTTAGGCAGGTTTCTGAGCTCAGGATGACACTCCATATATTCCCTTGCAAATCAGCAATCATCAGAGGATGAAGGGAAGGCCAGCTGGGAAGAGTCCCAATGCTCTCAGCCAACACTCCCTTCTGTTTTTCTCTGTTCCTTCTCCTTCTCCTTCACCTTCTTCTTTTTCTTCTTCTAAACATTTTGGTATGTTTATTAACAGTGTTTTTTCTTATGGATCCTTTTCTTTAAACGTAATTGCATAAGAAATAATACATATACAATTTTATAGCTTATTTTTTAAAAAGTTAATATTAACTGTTTATATTAGACAATGTTACCGGTAGATTGAATTTTTTAAACCAATCTTCTATTGTTGACCATTTGTACTGTTTCTTTTCCTTTTTAAAAGATATTATTTATTATTTTTTTAAAGAGAAGAGAAAGGAAGGAGAAAGAGAGGGAGAGAAACATTGATGTGAGAGAAAAACATCAATCAGTTGCCTTTTGCATGCCCCCAACTGGGAACCTGGCCTGCAACCCAGGCATGTGTCCTGACCAGGGATTGAACTGGTGACCTTTTGGTTTGCATCATGATGTCCAGCCCACTGAGCCACACCAGTCAGGGCTCCCCTACTATTTCTTGCTGCATCTATTAAGATGAGTGATGCCTGGCCAGCCAGCTCTGATCTGCCACGCATTAAAGAACATGTACTGTATACTGGACAGTGGTGTGCTTTTTCCACCAGGTGCCAGGGATGCAGTTCTGAGTCAGACAGACCCAGCCCTTCCACCCAAGTCTACAGCTCAGTTGGAGAGACACTGAATCACTGAACAAACACACAAAAAATTGAAGACAACGAGAATCACTCTGAAAGGGATTAAGGAGATGTATAGGTAGAGAACAAGAAAAGGGCTTGATAAAGGATGCACAAGGAAGCCTTATTTGAAGATAATATATTGAAAAATTTATGCCAAGGATGATGAAGATTCCCAGAAATAATTAAAGTGAGAAGTGGGAGTAGGATGTTCCAGGCAGAAGGAACTTTATGTAGGAATTATTTAAGGTGTAAAGGACCTTGGAGCTTTTGAGGAAGTGAAAGAGTGCCCATGGGCCTTCAGTAGATAGGAGATCAGGACCCATGCATGACATGTGTTAAACCAGGAGCAATAAGCAGGGATCTGAAAATTGAGGGGCTTTGAGGCTGTGACAGGGAATGTGATGTTTATTCTAAAAGTAATGGAGAAAGCTGTCAGGCTTAAGCAGGAGAATGACCACATATGATCTATGATTTTTTTAAATCCTCACCTGCAGATATGTTTTTATTGGTTTTGAGAGAGAGAGAGAGAGAGAGAGAGAGAGATGCAAGAGAGAAACTTTGATCAGTTGCTTCCTGTACACACACCAACCAGTAATTGAACCTACAACTTAGGTATGTGTGCTGACTGGGAATCAAACTCACAACCTTTTGGTTTACAGGACAATGCTCTAACTAACTGGCCACACAGCCAAGGCTATGATCAATGATTTTGAAAGACCACACTAGCTGCTACGTGGATAAGGACTGTGGAAGACAAGACTGAGAGCAGAGGAACCAGGTAAGGTTACTTCATTAACTCAGGTGAGACACTGGCTGGATCTAGGATGAGGCAAGGTGTAGAGAGAGAGATTAACAACATATTTGATGGGTGAGTTTTGTTCTCAGATGGAGAGGCCCCAGAAACCTGGCAACATGACCAGAGTACAAGAGTTCATCTTGCTGGGGTTGTCCACGAGCTCAGACATAAGGGATGTCCTGTTTGCCATCTTCCTGACTCTCTACCTGGTGACCCTGCTGGAGAACAGCCTGATCATCTACCTTGTCTGCATAGACAGTGAGCTCCACAAGCCCATGTACTTCTTCCTGGGCAACCTGAGCTGCCTGGAGGTAAGCTATGTGTCAGTGATCATGCCCAGCCTGCTTGCGGGGCTTTGGGGTGGACCTGGCCCCATGCCCTTCATAGCCTGCATGACCCAGCTCTTCTTCTTCATCTCCCTCATCTGTACTGAGTGCACCCTCCTGGCTGCTATGGCCTATGATCGCTATGTGGCCATCTGCCACCCACTGCATTACCTGCTGCTCATGAGGCCCCAGGTCTGCCTGGCTTTGTCCTTGTCCTCATGGCTGAGCGGGCTGCTGGTCTCAGTGGTCAAGACATCGTGTATTGCTAGCCTGTCTTACTGTGGCCCCAATGTCCTCAACCACTTCTTCTGCGATGTCTCCCCTCTTCTCAAACTGTCCTGCACCCACGTGGCCCTGACAGAACTGGTGGACTTCATCTCTGCCATTGTCATACTCTGGGGTTCCCTCCTCGTGGCCATAGCCTCCTATGCAGCCATTGGGAGGGCTGTGCTGCGTATACCCTCAGCTGCCGGTCGCTGCAAAGCCTTCTCCACCTGCGCCTCCCACCTGCTGGTGGTGGGGATCTTCTACTCAGCCACTCTCTTCATCTATGCCCGTCCCAGCCGCTTGGAAGCTGCGGATCTCAACAAGATGCTGTCTGTCATCTACACGGTAGTCACGCCCATGTGTAATCCTGTCATCTACTGTCTGCGGAACAAGGAGGTCCAGGCAGCTCTCCACAGAACTCTGCGCTGGTCCTGAGGCTGACCAGGACGCTGGGTGTGGCACAGTTCTCACACTATCAATACTTTATATTTGTATGGAGACAAAATCCACACACCATGTATTTTACTCTTTGCAAATATACAGTTCTGGGGGTTTTAGTATATTCACAAAGTTGTGTGACCCTCTCCACTATCAAATTCTGCATTTCATCACCACCAGGGGAAACCCATACATATTGGAACTCACTCCCAATCCTCTGCACCCAAGGCCTCAGGAACCACTAATCTTTCTGTCTCTAAGGATCTGTTTGCTTTGGGTATTTCACATAAATAGAATCATATCAAATTTGGCCTTTTGCGTAGTGTCTTTCACTTAACATAATGTGTCCAAAGTTTGTGCATGTGGTAGCAGGTGTCGGTATGTCATTCATTTTTTATGGTTGAATAATATTCCATTTTATGTATATACCATGTTCTGTTTACCCACTCATCAGTGGATGGATATCTGCATTGTTTCCAGTTTTTAATCTGCTAGGAATAATTCATGAGAATAAACAACATGTTTTAAGACACTGCATTTTAGGAGAGTTTATTACACAGCGTTCTTGTGGCCCCTGCAGACCAATACACTGCAGTTGGCTCAAATTAGGTTTGTTTGTTCACCATTACCAAGTAATTGTGATCAAGGACCAAGGCTTGGTTTCCGGGGCTCCTGGGAGGCCCAGGCCAGAGAACACACCCAGAGCAGAGAAGCCTGGGGCGGGAGAAGGAAAGAAGAATGAACAAGAGAATAGAGCCCACCTCGTCCTGTCCCCCAGTGCAGGCGGTCCCCCTTAAATGCCTCCACCACGAATGTGGAATGAATCTAAAGGCCTCTCCAAGGCCCAGCAGCTCCTGGCTGGCCCCGCCCCGCCCCCCGTGACCTCATTTCCACTGAGCTGCGTCCACAGTGGCCTTTTCTGCCTCAGAGTCTTTGCACTGCCCATTCCCTTCCCTGGAGATGCTTTTCCCTAGATATTCATGTCCTTTTTAAAAAAATCCTCACCTGAGAATATGTTCATTGATTTGAGTGGGGCGGAGAGAAACATTGATTGGTTGCCTCCCACACTCACTCTGTCTAGGGACCAAACCTGCAACCTTCTGGGGCACAGGTGGCACTCTAACCAACTGAGCTTCCCAGCCAGGACCACTGTTTCCATTTGACAAGGTCTTGGGTGGGCTGGTGTTTGGCTATGTCTCTGTCCCCCTCTCCTGCTGACCTTGCTCCCTGAGCCCAGCCTCAAAGACCTCTGCATTTTCCATGACCCCTGCCATGTCCTCGCCCCAGGGCCTTTGTGTTTGCACAATCCAGTCCCTGCAGCTGTTGGCGTTGTTGGGCCTTTCTCACACTCTTGGTCTCCATTCAAATATCTCCTTTCAGGATTCCTGCCCCTGATGCAAGAAATAACATAATCAGCCACCCCTCCACTACTCCCATTGTCTGGAATGGAATTTAGTGTTTGCTCAATAAAGTCTATTTTCCCTGCAGACTGTGAACACCATGCAATGCCCTGCATAGTTCATTTTCCATTATGTGGTTGCACAGCTTCTCTCTCATAGGAGTTGTTGTGAAGAATCAATGAGGCACCCTGGCTGGGTGGCTCAGTGGGTTGGACATCATCCTGCCAATCAAAAGGTTGCAGGTTCGATTCCCAGTCAGGGCACGTGCCTGCGTTGCGGGGTCAGCGCTGGGCATGCACGAGAGGTGACTGATAGATGTTTCTCTCTCACATTAATGTTTCTCTCCCTCTCTTTCTCCTTCTGTTCCCATCTCTCAATAACAAACAAACAAACACTCTTTTAAAAAGGATCCATGAGGTAATGGACAGAAGCTCTTCGCACCAGGGTGGGTGCACACAGGAGCTGAGTAACTGTGGGTGAACGTGTTGTGGGCACCAACATTTGTTCAATGACCCCAGCAGTCCCATCATGTCATTTCCATGCTCCTATTATATACAAGATGAAGCTTAAATACAACACCGTGGCTGTCGAGGCCCAGAGAGGTATGACTCCCACATTCATTCATTCGTTCCAACTGCAGTGTGTTGAGAGTACCAGGTACTGTCACAGGCCCTGAGCTTGGGTTTGGGGATTCAGCAAAGTCACAGCTGTCCCCTACCCTCACAACGCAAGGGGAGAGCAGAGATAATGTCCTCAGAAAAGGGACACAAAAATTTTTCTAGAATGGCATCCTGACCCCGCTCTCTGTCTACTAGCTCCTAGGAGATGCTCAATCAACATTTATTGCAAGCATTAACCTGTGCATTACCAACAGCTTTATCCCTGGCACCAACACCATGTCTGGCCCATACTGGGTGCTGCATGAATATTTACTGATGGCTGAACATCTATCTTGTACACAGTCACATTCCCCTAGATCAGCATCTGGTACATACAGTTGTTGCTCAAAATATTTGTTGAATGACTAAAGAGAGGCTATGCTCTCGGTTCTCACCACTCCCCTTCACTTAAAGGCATTATTTTTTAAAAACTGATTTGAGAGAAAGAGGAAGAAAGGGAGAGAGACATCAAGAGACATTCATTTGTTTTTCCACTCATTCACACATTCATTAGTTGGTTCTTGCATGTGCCCTGACTGGAGATTGAACCCACACCTTTTGATGCCCCAGATGATGCTCTAACCAACTGAGCCACCTGGCCAGGGTTGAGCCTTACTTTTTTATCCGTAAGTGGATGACACTAAAAATAAGTAAATAATAACCACTAAGTCTTGGGACTGTGGGTGAAGAGAATTAAGTCCAGAGAATACATGTGTGTTACTCAAAGTCAAGAGGAGACAGAAACTCTTAAACGGAATTGCTTTCCTACAGTCTCACTGCTGGTGAACAGGAGAGATTCAGTCTGCCAAGTTCACAGTCACACTTCCTGAAGTTGCGGATGCAATGAACATCTGCTCTGCACCCCTATCAGAGGTCCTGCATTGGACCATCTCTGTGAAAACCATCCTGATACACACTCATCACATAAAGAATGTCAACAGGCTCCTAAGGGGTCCCTTGGCTTCTGCGCTGGCCAGCCCACCCCTGCACTGCCCACCAGAGCAATGTGACTGGATTCTCTGTGGGAAATGGAGGGGTGACTGGGGGTCTGCCGAGGAACACAGACATAGCTCCTGCATTCCATGCTGGACACTGTCCATCGCCTGGTGGACACAGGTTAAACTTAAAAATTAAAAAAAAATCCTCACCCAAGGTATGTCTATTGATTTGAGAGGGGAGGGGGGGGGAGGGAAATTTCAATGTGAGAAAGAAACATCGATTGGTTGCCTCCCATATGTGACCTGACCAGGAATGGAACCCACAGTATTTTGGTGTATGGAGTGATGCTCCAACCAACTGAGCCACTCAGCCAGGGCTCCTGATGGACACGGTTTCGATCCCTCTTCCAGTACCTGAACTAATGAAGGTCCTCATCACCTCTCCAGGGACCCATATTTGCCTCTGCTCTTCTGAAAATTTCTCCCTAGACTCATTCATTCAGCTGATATTTACTGAGCACCTATTCTAATCTCAAGATTGTGCTAGAACAGCCTTGACGGGTGTGGCTCAGTGGGTTGAACACCAGCCTGTAAACTGAAAAGTTGCCAGTTAAATTCCCGCTCAGGGCACATGCCTGTGGGTTGCAGGTTTGATCTCTAGAAGGGGTACATGGGAGAGGCACCTGATCGATGTGTCCCTCACACATCGATGTTTCTCTCTCTTTCTTTTTCCCTCTCTTCTCCTCTCTCTAAGAAACAAATAAAATCTTTAAAGAATAAACTTTGTGCCAGAACAAGCTACAGGGGGGCAGTCAGGAGGCAACTCAGCAGTCCTGGTGTGGATGAGAGTGGCTGAGACCGTCGGGGCACAGGTTTAGATGAAGACACCTGGACTCTTCAAGATAAACTTTGGAGGTGGAGTCCATAGACATTGCTGGTGGATTGGCTATGAGGGATAAAGGGTCACTGTAGATGTCTGGCTTGAGCCATGCAATGACATCACTTATTGAGATGGCCAAGTTTGGGGCGAGGTGAGGAGAATAAGGGTTGAGCACGCACATGAGTATGAAAGGTCTCTGAGACCCTCAGCTGGGTTGCACTAAACATGGCTGGACTTACAGGTTGGGGTTCAGATGAGAGCTCAGGATGGGGATAAACACTCAGGCATTGTTAGCACAGAGATACTTTTTGAGGTCAACGATGGCATGAGCTTGCTCAGGAAGACGATGTTGGTTTAACCTCCAAGTTTCTCTCCTGATCTGTCAGTGGAGGAGGGCGTAGGAAGGGCTCCCCTTAACTGGGCTCTCACTGCTGCATGTAGTGCTATTATTATCATCCTACTTTTTTAAATCCTCACCGGAGGATATGTTTATTGATTTTAGAGAGAAAGAGAAAAGGAGAGGGGAGGGGAGAGAGAGAGAGAGATTCATTTGTTGTTCTATTTATTTATGTACTCGTTGGTTGATTCTTGTATGTGCCCTGACCAAGGATCGAACCCAAAACTTTGGTGTATCAGGATAATGCTCTAGCCAACTGAGCTACCTGGTCAGGGTTCAATTCAGGTCAGCGCACATACCTAGGTTGCAGGGCATTTATGGGAGGCAACTCATTGTTTCTCTCTCACATTGATGTTTCTCTCTCTCTCTCTCTCTCTCTCTCTCTCTCTCTCTCAAATCAATAAATATATCTTCAGATGAGGATTAAAGAAAATATTTTGTCCACTTGCATGCATTCCCTCGAGTCATCAAATTCATCAGGACAGAAAGTAGATGGGGGATGCCAGGGGCTGGGGGAGAGGGAGGGTGAGTTAATGTTTAATGGGGACAGAGTTTCAGTTTTACAAGATGGAAAAGTTCTAGAGATGATGGTGGTGATGGTTGAACAACAATGTGAATGTACTCTATGCCACTGAACTGTGCACTTAAAAATATTTAAGATGGTAAATATGCTATGTGTCTTTTACACCAAATTAATAAAATAAAAAATTTAAATATACTTGA